GCAACCCTCTGCATTTACAAGGTGAGGCAGTCCCTGGTCACTGCAGCCCTGGTCAAAATTCCTCCTTAAGAGCAGGCAAAAACTGTAAAATCCAGTGATTTTTGTTTCTAGCAAAGTATTATCTATGACATATATTTTATAAAGTTTTAAAATATAGATATAAGAATGAATTAAAATCCTTTAATATTTGTCTGCAACAAGTCTTAATACTTATTATTAGCAAAATTTTAAGGGGAAAATGTCTGAAATCAAATAAATGTTCAGTATGAATGAAGATGTTTTACTCTTGCTTGAAAGTAATTTGTCATAGTTTAGTAACTCTATAAATGGTTGTATAACCTTCTATAGTTTACCAAAGAACTCATACATATCTTAGCACACTTGATCCCCACAATAAAGCTTTGAAGTTGATTGAAAGCTTACTTTTACACTTAGTTTGTTGATATTAGCCCCCCATCTGCATGGGGGAGAGCCAGGGCTCTAACACAGATTGTGTTGGGATATAGCTCAGTGGTTCAGTGTTTGCTAACATGCATGAAGTCCTGGGTTCGATCCCCAGTACACCTCTTCCAAATTCCAGGCTTTTCCACTCTACCCATTATACAAATGGTGTTCTTTGTCAATACGTTCTTCACAATATGTCTCCCAAGTTAATCAACAGTGTATAGGGTTCTTTTTTCACCGGGGGTCTTTTCTGACCCAGAAAAGACACTCTTATTTTAGAATCCTGTCCTTTTTGTGACAAAAAAAAAATGTGTGAAAATATCTTTTCAGGATTAGCAACACAGCTTGCATATCAATGGAACTTTAGGCCATATAAAAATGACACTTTTTAGAACAAAAAGTTGGAAAGAGTCAAGCACATATAATATTTAAAGTCCCAGTTCCCTCTGGGCCTCATTCCCTGGATATTTAAATGAAAGCTTTGTCTGGTCCTAAATTTATTTATAGCTAACATAATATCTGTGAAGATATTAAAATATTTTTTTTTCATTCAGGAATGGTGAATTTTCTTGCCAAAGTCTTCAGTACTAGCAAAAGTAATATGCTAAGCTTTACATCCCACAGGGGTGATCCTGAATTGTGGAAATATCTAAAGGGAACACAGGAAACTGAAGCTCAATGATGACATGTGCCCATTGTTACCATAGTTACAACAGAAAAGCCAGAGAGATGTATTGTTTCCTATAAGCCCTGAGAAGAGCATTGTGTAATTCAGGATCATTGGGTGAAGGAGCCTATCTCTATCTACAGGGTTTCCTTGTGGTTGTCCTTGGTTTAAACATGCAATAGGGGAGCAGATAGAAGGATAAATGACTTATTTACACTCAATAAAGTTGTTGCTGATGTCCTATCAGTTAACATTTGCTCTCAGAATCTGCTCAAGTTGCAGTCTTTATATTATTCATTCTTTTATCATTAAGATATTGGAGTTGACAGCCATGACTAAGCTTAGTTTAGGTAAAATACTCTACAGGGTCATAAAAGGGGGTGAATGTCTGTCTTCCTCCTGAATCTCTTAGGCTGATTAACACAGAGCTATGAAGATCATGGTGAATGAGATGGCCTATGGCCTCCTCACAGTGTGAAGCTGTCCACATCTGGCTTTCTGATCGCAATGGAATCTGACCTGATCTATTTTCTTGTGCTCAAATCTCCATGGCATCCCTCCTTGTGTCCCTACTTTGAAGCCAGCTTTGTTGGTGATGTACTTACAGCAACTTGAGCCAGGTAACTTGATCTTTAAGTCATTTCATTATGTGACAGATAATTATGATGATAACAACAAACAATCGACACTTCTTGTGGGTTCTTGTGTGGCCCCCATAAAAGTGCCCTGTAATTTCTTCTGATTCTTAGAATGACCCCAGTGAGGCAGATACTTAATACCTCTGTCTTACAGAAAAGGAAACGAAGGCCTAGAATACTGAAGTGACTCATCAGTGCTAGACAGCTGTGAAATGTAAGAATCAGTGGCCCAGGTATGTAGAACACCAAGCCCCGAGAGAAAACTACACCCTCCAACTTCCTTACCCAGAGTTGAAATGCTTCCTTATAGTTTCATCCATTGGTCCCAGTTCTAACCTCTGAGGACCTGGAAAATGTCTTAATTCCTCCTCCACTACTAACTCTTCAGATAATCAACATGGCTTTTAGAGGTATTTTGCAGGTATTTTTTTAAACCACAGGTCCTAGACCATGTAGGTTTCTTGTTTGTGTAATTGCAAAGCACTCTAAAATCTGTCCTTACCCTGCACCCAGAAGTCAAAGTGGCTCTTAAAATATAAGTCAGGTCACTTCAGTTCTATGCTTAGCACACTGTTGGGACTTCCCTTGACACTTAGAGTAAAATGAAATCTTTATAATCACCTTTAGGATATAGAATTGTCTTAGTGAAATTTTCTTTTCAAAATTGATGGTTCCCAATCACGTTGAGGCATAATAATGAGGAATTCTTCTCTTAACAAAGATCTTCACTCCCAGGCTCCCCACTTTACTTTCCCTGCTCCAGGCACAGTAGTTTACTTGCAGTTCCCTGGTGATGCCACAGTGCTTAAGCCCTCTACTTGGAAAGGTCTGTCCTGGAATGTCTACACGGTTCTTTTCATCTTCTTCTTATATCCCTTTCAAAGTGATCTTTACAGACTGGAGCTATGATTTAAGATGTAGAACACCTGCTTTGTAAGTGTGAATCCCTGAGTTCAAACCCCAGTCCCACTAAAAGAAAAAAGCAAAATCCCCTAAAACAAAGTGACCTTGTCAATGAGGCCTTCTCCAACTCTTCCATTGGAAAGGGTTAAGCTCTCCCCTCACTAGTGTTCTCTCTCTTCTTTCTATATTTTCCCCCTTATCTTTCTACTTATCACCATCTGACTTATTTTATTTATTTCTTTGCTTTTGCTTGCCTTTTCTCCTTCCTATCCACAGAAGAATGAAAGCTCCATAAAAGCAGGACATTTTAGGAAACTAGTCTCCAAAATCACAATGTCCTATGAGTCACCCTCTGTACCCCTAAAACTAACAGTAAGCCTGTTCGTATAGGGCCTTTATACACTTTAATGTTCCTGGTAAGAACTGTATTATCAGCTGGTCAGGTTACTGAAATTATATCTGTAGGACTTCCTAATCCTATGTGAAGCTTACCATAAATGGATAAATGTCAAAACCTTCTTGTTGATACACTGTAGCTAGCTTTTATTGGCGTGATACAGTATTTCCTTTGTGGTACTCACTAGTAACTCCTAAACCTCAGAGCATCCTCTGTTCCAAGGGGAAGCATCTCAATATATTTAGAGACTCTGTTTGGATTTATAAAAAGGCCTTCTTACCCAAATTCAGACGATGATGTACAGGTATTTAAAAAGCTGCTTTTCGAGAGCACACAAGGAAGGTATGAAGATAGGTAAGACACCCAAAAAACTAGATAGCATTTGTTGCCCTCAACGAAGAGAAACTAAAGCAGATACTTTAAAGCAACCGAGGCCAATAGGAGAAGGGGACCAGGAACTGGAGAAAAAGTTGGTTCGAGAAGAATTAACTTAGAAGGTAACACACACACACAGGAAATTAATGGGTGTCAACTCCCTGTATAGCTATCCTTATCTCAACTAGCAAAAACTCTTGGTCCTTCCTATTATTGCTTGTACTCTCTCTACAACAAAATTAGAAATAAGGGCAAAATAGTTTCTCCCTGGTAGCGAGAGGTAAGGGGGGGATGGGAGGGAGTGGGGGGAAGGGGGGAGAAATGACCCAAACAATGTATGCACATATGAATAAAAATAAATAAATAAAAAATAAAAACATGAAATTTGCTTTTAATCTGCAAAAAAAAAAAAAGCTGCTTTTGATGAAAAGTACTGACTCCTTAATTGAGCCTGTGAATTAACTGAAAGGAGGATAAAAGCTAGTCATCCCAACCTCCATTTTGCATCTGTGTCCCTTGCTCTGATTCATTTTCTTCTGTAGTCACTTTGCACACACCTTGGAATCCAGGAAGAACAAGACAGGAGACAGAGACAGCAATGACTCGTACTGTAATAAGGCCCTGACTGACCAATGCTGAGACAATTAGCTTCCAGAACACCTGACCATCGGAACACAACTGTGACCAGGACTGTTTAATAATTATATATGCCTCTTCCCTTACCCCCAGTTCTTCCTCTTACTTAAACCTTCCCTCTAAATACCTGTGCAGGGAAGATAGGTTAAAATGCTATCTTTCCTCTTCTAGTGATGTGCTTGTGCCATGTAATAAACCTGTTTTTTGTCCTTCACCATTACTTGTCTCTTTATTTGGAGTGTTGGAGTGAGTGGCCAGACCTGACCTATGGAACACTGGAGTTTTGGGCCTGGGGTCTAAAATATCCTGTAATAATGATTTTACACAATCACCTGCCATAGAATGACCAACTTACCTTCCTACCACTCTGCTTCTACAGAGGAGTGAGCATTCTTCAGAAAATAATACTGAACTAATAATGGCATTCCACTTGAAAAATCTGTTGACTTGTGGCTTTCAATGAGCCTCTAGCTTCACAGCACACCATTTCCTACTGGCAGATTTCACGGCCTATTAGCTTTTCTTTAACAAGGTTTCAGACACTGTGTTAAAAAATGCCAGAAATTCTAATGCTGAGAAATAGAAATACTATGATAAAATAAATAGTACAGCAAGACGAGAAAAACTAGGCTAATTACCGTAGGACTGAACAGTAATCCTCATTCCTGATCACAAGGTACAGAAATTGCTGTCAATCTCAAATCATCCCTTCCATTAACATTTCAAATTATTCACTGTTAATCTGCAGCACTTCTTAGGAAAAGCTGAAGAAATTTTTGTTCTCACACTTTGAGGGCAAGGAGACAGTCTAAAATTTTTAAAATAGGAATTTAAAAAGTCTTTTCCTCTCACTTGAAAAGCCTTGTAAGAATCATAAGCTAGCAAGCATTCTCACATTCATCTAAGACTTGATATAAAGCATTAGTGTTTTTATACCCACAACAAAACATGGACCTGCAGAAGTTTTCAAGCAATCCTCCAGCAGTTTCATGCGCATCTTCTGGAGGTCGGGGTTGTCCCATTCGTCTTCATCCACTCCCCAGTACAGATCTATGACCTGTGAACACATGGAGGAGCCAGCATGAATTCCCCCTGGAGAAAATTAAATTCACCTGTGAGCTTTGTTCTTGTTCACAACACCAGACTACTGGGACATTAACTTTTCTCTCTGTAGCATGCTTTCCCTTAGATGGGAAAAGTGATTTTTATGACCCATCTACAGGGACATTTAATTCCATGATGGCTTCAGAATGACCATATAATGTCTTATTTTGTTTCTGGTTCTACTATTCACATGAGAAAAGGAAACACTAAATGTCGGAGGCTTTGCTGTACAGAATTTAATTACTTTGAAATGGTAACAGGATTAAAGAAATGAATGTAGCTGGGATAAGGTCACCACATTATTTGTGACAATTAAATCACAGTGTAAAATATTACTGTATGTCCTAATAGGCAAAGAGAAAATTGCACTGGAAATTAACATATACTGAGCTAAAGTCAAGCAACTGCATTTCTTTTCTTTTTTTTTAAATCAAAGAAAAAGAAACCGAAAAAAAACCCCACTGTTAATATCAAGCTTCATTCCAGGGGACAGATATTTGGTTATGCAGTCTGGCTTTCATCAATATCTATCTGAAAAACATGTATTGGAAAACAGTGGAAGGTGTGCCTTGCTGAGAAGTAAGGATAATAGGCTCCTCTGTCTCCTGACTTCAAAGACTCCTGGGGAAGATTCTGCAAAAAACTGTAAAAAACTTTTATAGGCAAGCTCTTTGAAAAGTTCTAAGGAGAGTATTATGGGTTTCATTCCCTTTACCCAAGTGCTATCTGCATAGAGTAAAGGTTTCTAATTGCAGCTTTGAAGATTTCTCCTTGAACAAGAAGCTCTGGGTTTCCACCCCAGAGTCTGCGTGGTGTTTAGTGGGATGGAAGCACTGGCAGACCCCAGGGACTCTGTGTGCTTCCTCTTTCTTGGCTGTGGCTCCCACACAGGTATGTTTGTACTGCATATGTGACTACTTGAACTTGCGCTTTTACAAGGCTCACAGACCTATGGCAACTTCTTTGAAAGTATTTCCCTAGCTCATTCCATGGATTTTTATTATACATGAAACTATCAGCACTCATTTGCGGGCTCTTCCCTTTGATCTACCTTATAAGGTTTAATCACACAGTATTAAGAAAGGGGATATCTGAGATGAGATGATAATGTCATTGATTAATCTAAAGCTTTTAAATTAAATAAAATTTAAGATTAAGTATAAGTGAATAAAATGTTAAGAATTCAGTTTATCAAGTGCTCTGTAACTCCATGAGGCTGTTGACTTCCATGCTGGACACAGAATATTTCTCTATCACAGTGAGTTCCGTTGGACAGAGCTGTGTATTACAAAACTTCAGAAGAGCACAGAAATCAACTTCAATGAAAGAACAGTAAAGGGATATAATATGACTAATTTGATAAAGAATGGACAGCTCAGGACTTGTAAGGTGTCCTGCTCATGGCTTCGCTCTTATGAACTTTTCTGGGTGCTTTAAGTGCCATAGAGTACCGTCTGGTCAATTAATAGCCTGCCACATTACAATCTAGTTCTAATGTTTCAGAATACAAAAGATGAACTTCTCTACCTCACTGTTTTTTGGGAAGATATCTGAAGAACTGTGGCTAGTGCTGAGAATGTGATTTTCCCTCACTGGGAGCAGAATCATTCAATAGGCAGCTCTGGTCTCTTGTCCTGAGGACACTCAAAGTCTTGGGAGGACAATGGATTAAGAAAAATGAGCTGGCAAGTGTGGTAAAAGAAGGGATGGTTCCAGAGTCTGGGATTTACTTAAGGGCAAGTCAACAGGTAAAGCCAATACCTGAGTCTGGTAGGACCTCATGTCTTCACTGCCATTTCTTTGATTTATGCTTCTGGCACAAAAAGAGAGTTACAGGTCTACTTAGGAAGTTGTTCCCTATACGTATATGTTCCAGTGTATTTCCTACTACTTCCTGGATTTGTTACAAAGTTCAGGCTTTACATTATGGTCTTTGATTCACTTGGAAGTAGAACTCAAAAGGCTTAGCATCTAAGAGAAAGAATGAACAAATGGGACTGCATCAAACTAAAGAGCTTCTGCACCGCAAAAGAAACAGTCACTAGACTCAAGAGACAGCCCACACAATAGGAGAAAAATCTTTGCCAGCTCTTTATCTGATACGGGATCCACAATCTACAGGGAACTCAAAAAACTGAACCCCCAAAGAATCAACATCTCAGTGAAGAAATGGCTACATGAATTAAAACAGGGAATTCTCAAAGGAAGAGGTACAAATAGCCAGTAAATACATGAACAAGTGTTCAACTTCCTTGGTTATAAAAGATATGCAAATCAAAACTACACTTAGATTTCATCTCACCCCAGTTAGAATGGCCATATTCAAGGGCAATAACAACAACAAATGTTGGTGAGGATGTGGCAAAATGGGAAACCTTATACACTGTTGATGGGAATGCAAATTAGTACAACCACTATGGAAAGCAGAATGGAGATTCCTCAAAAAACTGAAGATAAAAATGCCATATGATCCAGTGATACTGCTCCTGGGCATCTACCCAAAGGAACATAACTCAGGATACAATAGAGACAACTGTACACTGATGTTCAATGCAGCACTATTCACAATAGGCAAGCTTTGGAAACAACCCAGATGCCCTACAACTGATGAATGGATCAAGAAATTGTAGAATATATACACAATGGAGTTTTACTCAGTCATAAGGAATAATGACATGGGTTTGAAGGTAAATGGATGCAAGTGGACGACATCATGTTAAGTGAAGCAAGCCAGGCTCAGAAACACAAAGGCTGCATGTTTTCTCTCATACATGGAAGATAGATCCAAAAGATAAATATATAAACAAAAACAAGCATGATCATATACAAACTCAGATGTAGAACATGTTTGTAACAGTGGAACTACTTTAAGGATTTGGGGAAAGAGGGAAAGGAAAAGAGAATAATAGAGCATCAGTAATATTGTAAATTTCTGTGAAGGTAGAGGATATAAAGACATGTATTGAAAGCTGTTAAAAAAGATGGGATGGGAGGTAAAGAGGTAAGGGAGAGTAATAGAAAGAGTTAAACAGACTGAAATAAAGTATACCCACAGTGGGGATGCATAGAGAAACCCCTTTGGACATCAACCAAATTTTAATAATGAAAGACAGGACTGTAAAATAGGTATAGTGTGTGTGGGGGATACCAATGGGCGGGGGATACCAATGGGCAGGGGAAGGGTGAATGAAGGAGATCAAGGTGAGGGTATATGGCTGATGGACTTCATACATTTATATGGAATAGAACAAAGAACCTCTTGCAATTGCTTTAAGTGGGGCATGGAGGGGTTAGAGGGGGAAGATGATGGGGGTGATCTAACCAATGTACAATATGTCTATTTGGAATTGTCACAATGAATCCCCCCTGTATAAACAATATATTTTAATAAAAATTTTTATAATAAACAAAAACAGAGAGTGTGAGGGCAGGTTTTTTCTCCCTGTGCTCTGTCTGACATGTCTGTGAAGGAGTACAAATGGAGGCTTCTCTTGGAACACTAAGTGATGGACACCAGTTGATTGCTAAAGCTTAGATTTCTTTAGAGGAAGAGAGTATGGGGCTGCTTCTCAGGACCTACCCACTTTTGCATGATCTAGAAAAGTACTTTTACTAGAAAAATTTTGTAGCATAATGAAATAATTGAATAGTTGAAATGACATTTTTCTGGTTATCAGCCAATAAATTGTCAAAATAAACACACAAATCCACCGCTATGTGAAGGTACTCCTTGGTTGTGCCATGCACAATCTAAAACCATACATAGAAAGTCTTCTCTCCATCTTTTTGGCTGACACTGTTTGGATGTAAAGTCAGGAGCTGCATAGTTGACATTTTGGGCAATGACAGATGATAAATATGATAGTCTCCTAAGATTTTATCACCTAGTGATATCACAGCCATCTTAGTTTGTGTAAGGACACTCTGTGATGGTCAAACAATGATGAAATCACCCCAAAATACATTTCTCAGAACATATCCTATTGATATGCAGTACAGGACCATTGAGGAAGGTTTTCTCAAAAGAAAAGAACTGGCAAATATAAAGGTTAATATAACAAAAGTTCTAAGTAGGTACTTCTCAGCTTCTTTAAAAAATTATATAAAGCAATAATTATAACAGTGTGTCATTGTATTGGTAACATATAGAGGTAACATGTAGAACAACAGCAGCACACAAAGGGGAAAAGGGAATGGTGTTACACAGGACTAATTTCTGTACTATTTACTAGAATTAAGTTAGTATAAATGATAAGTAGATTTATGTAAGATAAAATGTACATGCCTAAAATAAAACATTCATAAAGTTGTAAAATCGTTAAATGAATTAAAATGCTACACTAGAAAATATTCATTTAATGTAAAAATAAAAAAGGAATAACTATTACAAAAAATAGATTAAGAACTAACTATATACCAATGAATTAGATTACCTTAATGAAATGGATAAATCCCAAAGAGTCATGAATTGCAGAGCTGACTAAAGACAAAATAGACAAGTGAAGATATCTTTAATAAAAGACTAAACAGTAATTAAAAAAAATTGAATATGCAGAAAAAATGCCCAATTCCAGATGGATGCACTGGTAATTTCGAATAAGCATTTATAGAAGAATTAATAATAATTTTTCATAAACTCATTTAAAAATTTATAGAAGGGACCCATTTCAACTTACTCTATGTGACTAGTATGACTCCGGTACCAAAAATCAGACAGAAACATCTCAAGAAAATTAAGACCAATATTGCTTATGAATAAAAAACAAATATCCTTGACAAAATACTAGAAAACCTAGTAAGGCAGCATAGAGAAAGGATTATGCAATGTACCCAAGTGAGATTTATCTGGAATGCAAGGTTGGTTAAGCCTCAGAAAATCAACTAATGTCATATACTATATTAATAGAATAAAAGACAAAATCCACACAATCATCTCAGTAGACACAGAAAAAA